TAATACTAATTCCTAGCAAAATCACCACCTTCTCATATACGTTTTCTCTAAGTGCTGCACATGTTAGATGCATGTGCATTATTTATGTGAGCACATGATATGAGAATATGGCGAATGTTAGCAGTTACTACTACAGTGTTTGCTAGTTAGATTTGAGTGCAAAATGTCTCAAAGTGCATAGTCTAGTTCCTCTACACTGAATTAATTGTCTCAATGGCCACTGATAGAACAGAAGGAGTATCCCAACGGCCAATGTACTTTAGTAACATTCCTTTTATACAAGAGTCCTTTTCTAGAATGCAGTTGTTTCTAGTGCTTATGAAACACTGTTTAAATAATGAGTCCTATTTCCATGAATAATTATGAGAATTTCTAAGTTTCAAAATCCCTCCAGGTGATTTAGTTCAAAAGGAAGCTTTTGAGCATTTCTTGAAAGTTCACACTCATTCCTTTTTCTTACACTGAAATAACTACTGGCGAGGCTGGCTATGAAGCAGCTCTGGTGAATAATGCATTATATGCTGTGCTAACTGAAAAATCAGCAATTTGAATCCATCAGCTGCACCTCAGAAGGATAGTTTCCTTCTATAAAGATTTATAGTCTTGGAAACCCCATGAAGGGTCACTGTTGTTTTGGTTTTAGCAGAGGATACCAGAAAGATGTTTACTTAGGTTTTATTGACTACACAAAGGCATTCTGACTGTGTGGATCAAAACAAATTGTAGGTAACATTGAGAAGAATGGGAATGCCAGAACACTTAATAATTGTGCTCATGCAAAACATAGACCAAGAAGTAGTTGTCTAAACAGAAGAAGAGAACACTGCATGGTTTAAAAATTAGGAAAAGTTTGTGTCAGGGTTGTATTCTTTCTCCCTATCTTATCCAAATCTGTATGCTGAGCAAAGCATTTGAAAAGCTGGACTATATAAAGAATAAAGTGGCATCAGGATTGCAAAAGATTCATCAACAATAATCTGTTTTATGTATATGACACAACCTTGTTTGCAGAAGGTGAACCTTGACCCATTTGCTGGAGATGACCAAAGACTATAGCCTTCAATATGGACTTTATCTCAACATTAAAACCAAAAGACCTCACCATTGAGCCAACAGAAATCATCTTGATATATGGAGAAAAGATAATGACTCATGGTAGCAGTAGTCAAGAAATAAAAGTTATGTTGCATCAGGGAAAATATGCTGTCAAGGACCTCTCCAGTGATAAAAAGAAAGGATGTCAGTATAAAAACTAAGGTGTCCCAAGCTTTGGTATTTTCAACTGTTTCCTATGCATCTGAAAGTTGGACAGTAAAAATGACAAGAATCTATGCCTTTAATTTCGGTTCTGGAGAAAAGTAGAGAAAAAATCCAGATTGCCAAATGAACAAGCCAGTCTGTCTTTGAGGAAGTGCAATCAGTGTTCCTTAGAGGCAAAGATGGTGAAGCTTCAACTCCCATAAATGTCAGGAGGGGCTGGTCCCTGGAAAAGGACTCATGCTGCTAAATGAGGAGGGTCTAAGAGCCTCAAGATGAATTGACAGTGACTGTAATGATCAGCTCAAGAATACCAGATTAATGAAGATGGTGCAGGATAGGCTAAGATTTGTTGTTCAGACTTGCAGGACTTGTAGTGGACCTAGTAACATGGTGTGGCACTGGACTCAACTCAGTTGAATCTCCATTGGGTTTCCAAGGGTATAAATCACTTGGGAGGAGACTCTTTTTCGTTGGAGCTTCTGGTGGGTTCAAACCACCTTTGGGTTAGCACTGCTAACTATCTAGGGACTACACTTCCCAGAGCTCCCTTTAAGAAAGTCCCTAAGGTTCTGTGGAAGGATGGATTGTGAAGTCTCTAGGGCTGGTCTGAGGACTGAATGTATACTCTGAAAATGTTTTTTTTTTAAACAGTCCCTCCGTAAGGACTATCCACTTAGCTTTGTATCCAAAGACGAAATTTGTAGGTGAAAGGAGTTAGCCTTCGTTACAGACTGGTTCATTTCAGGGTCAAAAATATGGAACGCTTCACGAATTTGCGTGTCATCCTTGCGCAGGGGCCGTGCTAATCTTCTCTGTATTGTTCCAATTTTAGTATGTGTGCTGCCGAAGCGAGCACTGAAAATGTTCATTTCTTGAGTCCCTACTATGTGCAAAGTGCTGTTTGGTGTTGGAGGGAAACCATGAAAGCCTCTGTTCTCATCAAGCTTATTTTATGCCCTGATCACAGACAGATAATAAGAAAAATAGACTATGAAATTATATATATATATATGGCCAGTGTATAATGAGAAAAGTAAGAGAGAGAATTAGAATGGTTGCCAATACAATTTTAGTAGGGTGATCAGAGAAGATCTTAGAGACACCTGAGAAGAGTCTGAGAGGGCACCTTGACTGTAAGAACAATGTTCCAAGTGAAGGCAACAGCAAGTGTAAAGGCCCTGAGTTTTGTGTGGATGCAGCAAAGTGAGGAAGGAGAGATGATATCAGAGGTTATTGGGCTAGATTGTTTGGGTCTTCCAATCCATGATGATAATTTTCATACTTTTTGTCTAGAATTACTGAAAAATTCTAAGCAAGAGGAAAACTGACCTGAGGCAAGTGTTCAGAGTCTCCAGTGGTACGTGAGGAATGTGAGTAAGTGAAGAGCAGGGAAACCAATGAGGAAGCTAACATGATGACCAGGCAGGAGATGAGTAAGAATAGGACCAAGAAAACTGCAGTGGAGATGACAAGGGCCCATGTTCTGAAGGTACTTTTAAGGTATTTGATGATGGGCCTGGACATATGTCCAAGTCAGAGAGTAAAGGGCAATTCCAAGGTTTTGGCTTGAGTAATTACAACGGCAAAAGTGCTATTTACTGAGAATATGGGAAGAACAGGAATTAAGATCAAGTCAATTTGACAGATTACCCTGATGATTTCTTATATACCACCAGAAGATACCCATTCCTATCAAGGAGGCTATCAGAAATCTAGGGGAGCATTTCTGGGCTGGGAATTAAATCTAAAATATAAATTCCCATCATCTTCCACAAACTCCTTATAGAATTTATACCGATAAGAGCCCCTGCTGCTGTGTCCAGACTCTTGTTACAAATGCTTCAGTCATACATTCCACGTGCCACCCACTGCCTCACTCTGCCCTTCCCCCTCAAAAATCATGACTCTCTCACTTCTTAACTTCATGATCTTGGGCAAGTTCATCTTCTGTATCCTCAGAGAGCTCTGGTATCTTAGTGGCAATTGTGCTGCCAACACAAAAAACCCCATAGTTCAAACCCATCAGCTGCTCAGCCAGAAAAGACGGCCCATCTCTTCTTCCAAGATTTACCGCCTCTGAAAATACACTGGGTCAGCTAATGAGTCACTTCCAATCAGACTGTACACACTACCACCCTCAATCTTCACGTGCAAAAGGGAGACTATCTAACACGTACCTCGGTCATAAAAAACTACTATATGTCAGGCCTTAATGAGGAGGAATGTGGCATCAAGATTGGAGACTCATCGACCTACGTTTTGCAGATGACACAATACTGCATGCCAAAAACTGAGGACCTGAAGTGTTTGCTTCATAAGGTCAAGGACTATAGTCTTCAGTTGCAGCTCAACATCAAGAAAATAGATTTTCATCATTAACCCAATTGGTAGTACCATGAAAGATGAAGATTGACTTAACAATTTCAGTCTGCTGAGTTCCACGGTCAACACTGTTGATACCAGCTGTCAGGAAATCAGATTTCTCCCTCCACCCACATTGCCCTCTTCTGCACAGGGCCTTGCCCTGGTCCAGCCTCAACATGCTCAGCTTCTCATCCCAATCACCCCCCTGCCCTCCCAAATCCAGTCTCTTTCCCACTTATTTATGCCTCTATGGCTGCTAATTGGGTCATGCGCTTTCCTTTCTAAAACCTCTCAGGACAAAACCCAAGTTCCCTAGCTATCCAACAAAATCCTCCACTAGGACTTCCAAATCTTCACTGCCCTTAGATAACCTGTGATCAGTCATAGCTTCATCACTTCCATTGCATTTCCTTACCCCTCAACCCCACATCATCCTTCCATTTTGGGAACTCACTTCCTCCACCAGGTAGTCCTACCCGCACCTTTGCAGAGATCTGGGATGGGATTCATGCCTGTTAAAAGGTTTGTCAGGCTGCGGCAGGCAGTAATTAATGTCCTCTGTTGTTAATGTATGTCCGCCATAGACCTCAGCAACTATTACATGCTGTGAAACCTCCCCTAAACTCAACCTTCAGCTATACCACTGATGCCACTCAATACCAGTGCACAATCCATCCAAGATCCCAAACCACTGCCCTCTCCCACTGTCAGCCCCCAAACCTCCATATTTCCTAACTATCCATCCACTGGCTACATAAAAGCTCACCCCCAATATGGGCAAATAGAATTCTGATCTTTGCAGTTCCACAAGTAGGATGAAAAACACATTGCTACACAGAACTCCATTTCTGAAGAAGCAATGTGGGGGAGCCCTGTATCCTTAGCACCAGAGAACTCTTGATTCTCCAGTCGAGATAGTTTTTCATGTTGCCATGGAGACTTACTTACAAGGATCACTTACTTGGGACCTCTGGGCTTTATACAAGGGGCTCTCAAAACACTTTGTGCCACTATGGTGGGATAGACCATGTCTGGAGGATGCTGCACCCTGTCTACCTATTGCCTTAAGACAACTTGCTGGGCAGAGCACACCACCTGGGCTGATGGGTCACTCCTGTGAAAACAGGAAGCCCAGCTTTTCAGGGTAGAAGCTGATGTTTCTTGACACAGGTATTATAAGCTCACTCCCTCCAGGGTCTGCCTGTCCAGCTAGGATGTATGGGATTCTGTAGCTCTGATTTCCTGCTGCCCCATGCCCAAGCTAGGAATATGGACAGCACCAGGGCTCATAAAGCACCCCCTCCCAAGAAACACCATTCCCATCATGCCTCTGCTTTAGAGGAGGTACAGAGGTCCTGCAAAAGCTCAGGCAGGCATGTGAGAAAGCTCTTTACTGGGGGTACAGCAAGGAGGAGCAAGGCCATCTCCCCCTACCGGCCCCCACCCCTCCTAGGGTCCTGGGTGAGGAGCATCTCCCCTCATCCCCACAGACCACCACTGTCTTTGGTACAATAAATAGAAAACAAGGGGGGAAGGGGCCAAGGGTCCAGTCCTTAGTGGGGAGGGTTCTGCCAAACCCCTCTCCTCGACCCCCTTGCCCCAGGCCCCAATCAGTGCAGGCCTCACCCACCCCAGCTGGGTAGCAGCAATTCCAGTCGAGGGGAGAGATGAGGACGGGAGCCTAGGGCCCCCAGATGGGGGAAGGGTATGGCTTCAGGGGGGCCCCAGGGAGGGGGCAGGGTCATGAGCTGGCTGCCGTGCTCTGGGGAACACCACGGAGGCCTAGACGAGGCCCCAGAGCAGCAGGGTCATCAGGTGGTGGAAGGGGTGGACGACCTCCTGTCATCCGAGTCCGGAGGGCTGAGGCAGCTGGGTGCTGGGGGGCAGGTGCTGGGTGAGGCGGGGAGCAGTCCGGAGGGCCACTGACCAGGCTCACGTCCATCAACTCTGGGGGTGGTGGCGAGGTTGGTGACAGGGGGCGGGGAAGGCATCGAGGTTGAGGGGGTAGCTGGGCCCCGGTTCCCAGCAGCGACGAGGTGGAGGCAGGGGCTTGGTGTGACTTGTGGGGCACATCACCCCCGGCCCAGGGACGCAGTGGCTGGGAGGGTGGGACCTGAAGGAGTAAAAGGCAGTAAGTACATGATGGAGACCCAGCTCCCAAAGACTCAGGCTGCCCCCATCAGCCACCTCTAAAGCCTGAAGGCTCCAGTACCTGGGGGCTGTTCATCTCACAGTCGGTGATTGGGGGCCCAGCACCCACACAGTATCGATTGCTGTAGCGGTAGGCCCGGTTGTCATTCGAAGAGCCACTGGACCCTCCTAGAAGCATAGCAAAGGAGAGTAAGAAGCCAAAGAGGGGAGGTAGTTGACAGTTGGTTATTACCAGCTAAGTTTTGTTCCTGGTCCAGACTCAGGTATGAAAGGGTCAGATGACAGTTTTGGGGTCCTGTTATAGGAGTCTGAACTATGGTGGCACAGTGCATTATGTGCTGTGCTAACAATGTCAGCACTTTGAATCCACCAGGTGCTCTGTGGGAGAGAGACAGGCTATCACCTTATGTAAAGTGTTATAGCTCAGAAACCTACTAGAAGTTCACTATGCTTGGAACCAAATGGACAGTAATGGGTATGGGGTTTGGTTTGAGCCTAAACTGAGTTTCAGAGATCAGGCTGGTCAGGGATCTACTGTTTGGACCCATGCTGTAGTTGAAGATGCTCTGGGTAGATGCCCCAGGCCATGGTTCCCATGTTACACCCAAACAGAACTGCTCTCCCATTCCCGTTCTCTCCCACTGGGGCACTGGGCACCCACCAGAGCTGGAGATGGAGCTGGCGGTGCTGGAGGAGGGGCAGGTGTCGAGGGGCGCAGGCGAGGTGGAGGCACTGCTGCCTGCCGGGCCCGTGTTGGTGGCCTCGTCGGCCGTTCGGCGGAAGAAGCCGTGCTGCAGGGCCCCCAGTGGACTGATGCGGGCGGCCGGCTCATATTCCAGCATGCGCAGCACCAGGTCCTGGAAGCGGAGGTAGTCGGCGGGGCTGTGGCCCGGCTCCCCCGCCCGCCGGCCCCCGGGCCCGCCCGTCTGCACGCCCAGCACCTCCTGCAGCCGCCGTGTCCCAGGGCCCTGGTAATCCTGGCAGGGAGGGGGTGGGAGGGGGGGCAAGAGAGTGGTCGTCAGTGGGCAGGAGGGGCAGGGAAACACACAGGGGGAAACAGAGGCACAGGAGGCAAAGAGGAGAGAGAAAAGCTAAGAAGAGGTGTGGGATGGGGAGGAGAGGTGGGTGGGTAGGGGAGGAAGGAAAGCACAGACAAAGGGGAAAGGAAGGAAGGGAAAGACAATGGGGAGGGAAAGTTGGGGAGAGAGGGAGCCCCAAGTGTGAGAGAGTGAGGGGCCACCCAGGGTGGGAGGGGCGCAGGGTAGAGCCCGCACCTTCCTGAGTTCCTTTGTCCTTCGTAGGGTCCAACCACCCCCAGGCAGTCGCTCAAAGTACTTTCGAGCCTTGGGTGCCTGGTCCAACATGGGGGCTGGTGGGATGCCTAACACCTCCACAATGCGGTTCATCTGGTCCACCTGCAAGGAGACAGACAGACAAGTGGTCAGGGTCATCTGGCCAGCTAGATTCCCAATTTTGTCCCCAGCACACCCTCTTGCCAGGGGCCCACCTCATTGGAGCCACTAAAAAGGGGCTCCCCAGTGTGCATCTCCACAAGGATACAGCCCAAGGACCACATATCGATTGCCAGGTCATAAGGGGTGCCAAGGAGCACCTCAGGTGAGCGGTAGAAACGGCTCTGGATGTACTGGTAGATCTGGAGGGAATAGAGAAGGGAGAACAGTTGTAAAACACTCCAGCTTTCCTTGCTGGTCCCACTGACATCCTCAAAACTAGCAAAACCCGACTAAGGACAAAGCACTTGCCCTCCAAACCAGCTTCTATTCTAACACCAATGTTATCAGTGTCATCTTTTCAGGAGCCATGCACCCAGCTTCACCGGCCCTCTGAGTCTAATCTGATCTTGACCTTCAACCCTAGTGCTGCTCAAGGCCCCCACCACCACTCGATCACTAATCAGACAGGCAGTCTTCCAAGCCCTTCCTGACCCTTTTAAACCTTTGTTGTCATTATCTTTAAGGACCTGCTCACATTAAGCTGCAAACCGGAAATCATACCCCTCCGCCATCCACATGCCCAGCTTTAAGTAAAACGGTATCTGGTGCCTGCGCCCCACTCCTCCAGCCTTCAACCTTCACCACTGGTCCCTTCCCTCGGGGCTCCATAATCCTGGGCAGTATGTGCAGAAAGCTCCATTCACAGCATGAACCATCAGGTACCAACCTAACTGGCAGGAGAACATGCCTCTCCCCCTCTTGACCACACCCACCCGTCCAGCCCCTTCCACTTGGTCTCTGCCCTCTCTCGCACCCGCTGGCCGAGCTGGCAGGAGCTGCCGAAGTCCACGATCTTAATGGCACTGCGCTTGGGGTTGCACAGCAGGATGTTCTCGGGCTTGAGGTCGCAGTGAATGATGCTGAGCTCTGGCGTGGCCAAAAAGAGCAGTGCTGTGCAGAGCTGCTGTGCCAGCTTCCGGGTCAGGTTTAGGGAGACTCCTCGGAAGTGCGTGTTGCGCAAGAGGTCATACAGGTTGTAGGAGAGCAGCTCGAACACCAGGCACAGGTGGTTCCGGAACATGAAATGCCGCTTCAGGTGCACTGCGAGGAGGAAAGGATAAGCTCAGAGGAGCTGGCGGGGAGTGGCCCAGTGAGCATTAGGGGAAGGGGTGGAAGCACACCTCTGCCTCTGCTTCTAGCGTTCCTTCCCTTTTCAAGTCTGTCCAGTGTTGCAATCAAGACAAAAAGAAAGTCTCTGTAAGGCCTTCAACGCCAGGCCACACTCTATCATTTACGTTTATAACACTGTTTTAGTCTCCACTGTACTTATCTGTGTGGCAAGGGATACTGCTTTTCTATTTATTGCTAGGATGTAATCTTTAAGATAACAGTTTTTTAATACACTTGCTTTTTTCCAAAATCAAAAGGGAGCGAGGAAAAGGACAGGCTCTGCCCCATGGAGTATAAACCACCATCAAAAGTGGTGCCCTATGTGCCCTTTTCATTTAAATAGGGAGACAGTAATTGTCCCTCCCTTCTTAATTCATGCAGAATGATTACAAAAGTCTGGCCCTTAGCACTCAATGAACTTTGGTCATCATTATCATCATGTAAAACTCACTGCTGGTGAGTTGATTTTGATGGATAGACACCCTATGTTACAGAGCAGCACTGCCCCTCTCTATCTCTAAGGCGGTACATCTTTATGGGAGCAGACTGACTCAATTTTCTTCTATGGAGCAGATGGTAGGCGTGAACCAACTTTGAGATCAGTAGCCAAACATCTGAACCACTACATTACCAGGGATCCTTTCCATATGAAGTGGACAGAAAAGTCTCATAAAAGCAACAGCTGATAGCAGCAGCAGCAGCACAGATCAACTCCTGCCTGACAATACCAGATTCTTCCAGAACTGGGGCCAGACCATCTCTAGCCATGCCCACCTATGTAGTACTTCATCTCTGTGTCATGCTGATTCATCAGTTCCAGCAGCCGTAACTCAATTTGGGCCTGGTTCAGGAAGGCCTTCTTGTTCTTGATGATCTTGATGGCCACCAGCTCCTGGGTCTGATGGTCATAGGCTTTCACTACCTGCAAGGGCAGGACATGTCACTAGATGGGGAAAGGCCAGGGAATGGGCAGAGCCAGGCAGGTCTCCCCCTCCAACCAAGAGGACCCATCAGTAATGGTAAAATAGTAATCCACATTTCAGTGTCACTATATGGTAAAGAGTATAAACACTAGTATATACAATTAACATGAAATTAGACAACTCTTATGTAGCAAGTCCTATCATTTGCACCATTTCACAGAAAAGGAAACTGAAGCACAGGAAAACAAAATGATTGGACTTGGGTGAGTGGTCCCACCAGATATGAACCCACTGAACCCCTGGGTATATGGGTCAGTATCGATGGGTACCCATATACCTCATTCCCCATGGTAGGGGAACAGTGTCCCATACCTGACCAAATGAGCCCTTGCCAATTAGCGAGTCAATCTCATAGCGCTCCAGCCACCGCTCGCCACTACGCACGATGTAGTCATGGTTGTCATCATCGTAACCATGGTTCAGGACCTTCTTCTCCTTCTTGGTGCTCGAGTCCTGGGGTGGTGCCTGTTGGGCTCGTCGCTTCTTCTTCGCATAGTATACCTGTCAGGCATAGAGACCAGGAAATGAGGGCAATGAGAAACGTGTACCACTGGCCAAGGACTCTCAGGCACCCACTCAGGACTCCCCATCTCCACCCACCTCGTTGATGTGCTTGTAGGTCTTGATGAGGTCCACAGAGAGTTTGCGAAGAGGGGCTGAGGTTGCGTCCCGGAAGGCCAGGGGCAACCTCCGAGGCAGAAGCCGCACATCAGGCAATACCTGCAGGTTGAGGTGCCAGGTGGATACTGAGAATAGTAAAGATCTTTCACTTCTGACCTCAAGGGGGAGAATGAGTGGTTGGTTCATCATTACTTCCATTTTATTTGGTCCTTATCACAGATAGAGACTTGCTCTCTATTCAGTGGCTTCAACAGGGCCTGACACACAGTAGTAGTGTGAACAAATTTTTATTTATTTGACCCTTCACCTAATAAATTTACTGTTGAGTTAAAAGAAACAGATCAAGCAGAAAACCTAGCTTCTCTCTTCCAAGCCTTCAGTCTGAGGCTCCATTAGGTTACCCTACTTCTTGACCCTACCCTCTCATTTTTGCTTTTCCTTCATTCTATGGGATTTTCTTAACCGCAGACCATCCCCTAACTTTCACCTCAAGGATCTGGACTCTGGATCTTGAACCCTGGGCCTTTTACTCTACCCTGCTCATGCTTTGCATTCTAGAACTTCAGCTGCCTCTACCCTTGAAACTATACCCTCCAAACTCCTGTTTCAACCCTCCTCCCACCTACTCCCTCCACATCTTTCACTGAGAACTTTTTGTTCCTAGGAATTATTTTTCTTTACTATGTGCCAGGCATAGTTCATAGCAATGCATAGGCATTTTATTGAGTTGTCTGATCACCTCAACAATCTTGTATAATCATTATGGCTCCCATCTTACAGATGAGAAAAATGAAGCACAGAAAACCAAAGTCTTCTTATTCTGACTCTGGGAATGCCTTTTCTATCATCTTCTAGTTCTAATAAAGTGTTTCACACTCCCAGAAGACTGCTAAGCAAAGCATCCCTTGATCCCAGGCAGTGAGGAGCCAGCAAAACTCCTACCTGTGAATGCTCCTGAGGCCCCGGGAAGCCAGAGAAGGGACCATGGCCTGGTGGGACGGCCATGGTGGGCTCAGAGGGCCGCAGGGGAGCGAGGCCTGGAGCGGGAGCCCGGCCGGGGGGCGCCTTCTCGCATCCTGCACCTCGGCTGCCACCGCCGCTGAGACCTGAGGGCAGTCAGAGAACAAAAGCATGTGAGGGACAATGCCAGGCAGGAAGGAAGTGAACATAAGAGAGGGAGGAGGAAAGGGATTCAAGAGCAGCAGGTGGCAAAGAAGTGAAGGGACAGGAAGGAGCAGCAGACAGGTGAGAGGGGTGCAAAATAGTTCCTAAATAAATGCCCATCACATAATGAACAAGTGGGGAATAAAGACAGACACAACAAAGGGAACGAGGGGGAGCAACAAGTGTGGGGGAAAGGGTCATGACATGGAAGAGAACAAAAAGAGATCCGTAACTGAGATGAGGAAAAGAAATACGAATAGATGAGGTATGAAGAGCATTCTTTCCACTTTTATTGGGTTATCCTTGGGGCTCCTGCACAAGCACCTACCCTCCTGAAGTCTTCAATGAGCATCAGGATCACATCCTTTTACTACAGCAAGGTTCTGTTACTACAGAACCTTGTTTGCCAAGCTACACCAGCATCCTCTGAGAGGCACCAAATTATGGTTGTCCTTTGCAGGCCCTCCTCCCAATCCACATCAAGGGACCTCCTCATTATACTCAGGTTATCTGAGGCCTTCTATGTGTCAAAAGACCTGACCCAATAGCAGCCTCACTTGGATACACCCTTTCTATGAAACTTTATGCCAAGACCTCTTCCCTACTGGGGCCCTCACACATCAGGAAGCACCCCTTCAGCTAGTCACCCTACAACCTATCTCAGTTCCTTCTACCCGCACATTACTGCAAAGTTCCCTTCCAATAATGACCCACTTGCTTGAAGGCAGCAAGAGGGGGGAGGAGGGTGGTGTCTCTTCTAGAGGTATATAATGAGCTCCCCAAGAATGAGCCTTCCGTCTACCTCGTGGTCCCACCAGAGTGTCCTTTCCTTCTACTAGGGTCATTCCAGAGCGGTGCACACTCTTAGGAGGCCCCCCCAAATATAAGACCTCCAGGTAGTCCAGGATGTCCAACACACCACAGTCCCTCTCTCCTCGGGGTCTAACCATGTCAGATCACTTTCCCTCTTCACAACCCCTCCTCGCTTGAAGGTTCCCTCCCTGAAGGTCTTCCTTCCCAAACAACTTCTCTCCCAGGGCTCTCCAAGTCACCCAGCCCCCAACCCCTACCCAGGTCAGGGCTGGCACGGGGCCCGCGGGGGGCTGGAGCGCGGTGGGGCCCCCAGTGGGGCGGGCGGACGGCCAGCATGGCGGCGGTGGCGGCAGAGAGGAGGTGGCCTCCTGTCCCTGGCCCAGGCAGCCCGACAGGGCCCGCGCTGGGGAGGGCAAGAGGGACAGGCAGCTCGGTGGGTGACAACAGCAGCCGCCCCGACAGGGGCGGAGAAAGGAAGGGAGAGGGTCAGCTCAGGGCACGTGGGGGAAGGGAAAGCAGGTGGACGGAGGTGGGGGGGGTTGCGAATTAACCCTCGCCCTGCCGGCCCCACCCCCGTGGCCACCCGCCCCTGGGGGACCCTGGCGTTCCGCCCCCCCACCCAAGAGGTCCGCCCCGGCCTGCAAAGAGCAGGCAGGCCGGGCAGGACTGAGTTTGGCAGTCCGCACCCTACCATGGCAACAACCACACCATTGGTCACCACTACCAGGAGCCTAGCCAATCACAGCCCAGGGCAGCTGTTGCTAGGCGACCACGATGCGGCCGGCGGAGCGGAGCCTAAACAAAGGGCGGGAGCGGGGGCCCGGGAGCGGGGCCCCCCTACCCCTTCCTAGCTTCCCTCCCAAGGCGGCTCCCCGTTTGGCCCCTTTCAGGAATCGGACTATGAATAGCCAGGGACAGGCTGCAGCTGCCCAACTCCCCCTCAGGTCCTCAGTCTCAGGGACGCAGGCAGGGCGGGTCCACCCCCCCCCCATTAGCAAGTACCACCAAGCCCACCACTGTTACCTGTGGGCGCAGGTGAGGGGATTTCAAGTTGCTCGGGAGGCCCGAGCTCAGACCTGCCCACTGGCTGAAGGTATCCGATGGACACGGCGAGCCAGGGCCCCGATTACCCAGTAATGCAACCAGCAAAATGGCGACCACAACAAACCGGCCCCCCTGCCCTGGACTCCGCCCCCATCCACCCCCCTCACGTGACCCAGAACAGCACTCCGCGCCTGCGCACAATGGGCACTACACGCCAACATGCGCAGTAACCTACCAACCCCACCTAAATGCTGAATTCCGGATAAAGGTGGTAGGTACACCAGGGCTTCCGACGAGAGGCACTGGAAATGGAGCATTTGCGCCCCCCCCCCCCCCTCCGTGCATTCACAAGGGCGCATGTGCCAGGCTGTCAACACAGGCAGCCACTGAGCAACCAGCAGCAGACTAAAGTCATGGGTGAGTCTTTTAATAGTATAAAAAAAATACAACAAAACACCAAAAACACGTGTAGTAGCAACACAACCTCACAGTCCAGACACTTCTGGGCTTTAGCTCTTCACTTTGGGCGGTGGCCTGTGAAAGAAAGAGGAGATGGGAGTCACAGCCTGCCTCAAACAAGAATGGACCCACACATGTGGGTGTAAGATCTTGGTATATTATTACTCACCTGTACACACCCACCACCACAGCGTGGTCTCTTTCATATGGCTCTAGGGTCAACTGTTCCTGGGGCTTCATGTTCTCCTGTTGCATCTTCTTCACTTCAGAAGCAAACACTGCCTCAGCAGAGGCTGTGGAGTCAATGCAGTTAGCCTATGGGAGAGAATTTGAAATCTGCAGCATTATTTGGTGTGCTTCCCTTTTTTTGTTCTCTTTAATAAAATCACAAGTATTTGTTTGCATTGGAAACTCAAGCCAAACACAACTAATGAATCAACTAGCCAAAAATCTCTAGTCTCCAGTTTCCTCCTCTATTGCAGCGAAAGACCACTGCCCTTGAACCCCTATGCAGTGGAATTCTTTGAAACACACAAGGTTCCCAAGGGTCAAAGTCAAGGGCTTCAAGTTTCTGAAGTACGGAAATGAGAATATTTTCACAAAAGAATTTCATAGTGGTATTGTCTGACAAGAGCTGCTTTGCTAGATGAAAGGTTTCACTGCTCTGACAGTTCAAATCCACCAACAGATTCTGGAGAGAAAGATGGTCAATTGCACCTTATATGATTTACAGCCTCCAAAAACCTGCTGGAGGTCAGCTATGAGTTGGCTCCTACTTGACAGCAATATGACTGACATAAATAAAACTTTATTTACCTAAAAGCCAGTTTTAAATTGTATACCACATAATATCCTTACTCCTTTAAAATAAGGGTAATAATTCAGCTGAGACCACCACCACAAATGTAGGAAAAGGCTAACAAAAGGATATATACAAGAGTTATCTTTATTTCAAAAATGCCTGAAAAACTGCATGTACATTTTGGTTCATCTAGTGTTTATATACCACACACTTTATATATGGACCAAGCATTTTATATTTATGGATACTGTTATCCTTAAACTAACCTTTAAAAAAAGATTGCAATTAGGGTTCTAGTGTATAAACGAAGAAGCTAAAGCACACAGAGAAGTAACTTGCTCAAAGTCACACAACATGCCAGGATTCAAACTTTGGTGGTTAGACTCAATGATCACACACTTTTGATGATTATAACTCTTAAGATACAATTTTTTAAGTTTTCAGACTTTTAAAAAAAATTGGGGGGGAGGGTTGGGAGGGGAGAAATGTGCAACAATGAATGAATGGAAATCCAAAGTCTCTGTAAATTTCCACTGAAATTAATAATAATAATTGGTACTATTTCATTAGGTGCAGGAGACCAGGTAGTGGGGGAATGGGATAGGAATGAAAGTGGGAGGGGGAGGGGAGTGACGGAGCACCTCTACCCAGTTTTGATTAGCTGCTTCTCAGACAAAAGACACTTATTGGGAACATAATAGCACCCTTCTGAGACTCCCACAAGTTCCTCACCTTAATAGAAATCACAAAATGCCCTCCATTACGAAGGAAGGTGTGAGCATTCAGGGCCACAATCCGGGTTTGATCAGGCTGGGCCACGTCTGCAAAGATCACATCTACCATTGCTAAGGAGAGAGGAATGGCAATAAAAGTTAGCTGCCCTCCATAAAAGGAACACAGTCAGACCTGGACCTGGCTCTCTAGATGGTCTGAGGGGAAAACAGGTCATAAAAAAGGTGAAGGTGTATGCTCCCAGGCAACAATGCATGCAACACCATCACCGAAAACAAGCTACAGGGCCAGGGCACAGGAAGAGTGCATGGGGGGGGGGGGAACCCCCACACAGAATAGCTAGTGAAATGTTTTCAAACCTACGTAATTAAAAAAAAAAACACACCACCACCCCAAAACAAAGAAAATCAAAACCCAACAACCAAAAAACCAGCATCACTCCAAAACTTTAAAACAGGTAAGATGAAATAAAAAAAAAAAAAAATAAAAAAAAAACCAGAAAAGGTAGTTTAATGAACAATTGACTCAAAAGTCAGAAACCAAACTGTTCTTAGGTATTACCTCTTCTGAGTCATTAATATTCACCAGGGGCCTCTTTGGGCCAGGTCTTTGCTGTTCCTACTTATGGTTTGGGAACTCACCAGATAAATCTCCTGTGAGAACTCAAACACACAAGCTAGGAGCAGTATGAAAAAACATCACATTTCTGGGGGGGGAAGCAGGAGTTATATAGGGAGTCAAGGAGGGGGAGCTCACACAGGAGACACCAGACAGTGAAACCTGGGTGCCCCTTCCACAATCTCCTCTAGCTGCCCTAAGAGTTCTCATCCTCTTCCGTGACATCCTATCAGGACTCAGAAAATTTGACTCTTGGTCTAGCCTACCCCACCTGGGCTACTTCCAAAACCCTCACCAATAAGCATGCGGTATTTGTGTGGGTGCCGAGCATCCTCGATGACAGGGATTATGTTGGTCCTTTTCTTGGCCAGGTTAATGAGGTCCCGGCCAGAGCGATGGGAGAATTCAACGGCATAGACCAGACCATCCTAGAACAAATGAAATCATAACAATGATAGCAGCTCTCGGGTACATAAGACCTGCAGACTGCATGCAGTATTCCTTCAAATCATCAAGATCAAACCCCATTATCACATGACTAGTGTCATCATTTCTGTTTTACACGTAAGTAAACGGAGGTTAGAGGCATGAAGTTAATGAGCAATTCATGCAATTAAGTGTTCAAACATGAGATTACACAGCCTGTAACCGTATGAATGCACAGGAGTCACAAGATAGGAGACCTTGAAATGACACCCTCAACAGACACAGAAAAACAGGCCAATGACATCAGAATTCTAGGCCGAGAAACTAGAAGACCATATTTGGATGGCTTGAGTTTTTAAAAGGCCCAAATGATCCAGGCTGCTACTTATACAGTTCCTAACTCTGATCACCCTGATGACAGTGTAGGGTAGCAGCCATACCTACTTCCACAGTGGCAACACGCAAGCAGCCTTTCCCTCTGTCCACCTGCCATTACTCACCTGGCCTACAATGTCAGACACATGGGAGACAGTGGTGCCTGAGGCGGCTCCAAGGTAGAGCACCTTGGCACCAGGTTTGATGTGGATTTGGTCAACACCACCCAGGATCGCTGCCGCCAGCTTGGAGCGGAAGGGGTTCCAGGCGCGATACTCAATTTTGTCATCTCCCTCCTAGACCAGGAGAGATTGGAATGGAAGTCAGAACTGGGCTCTTCTCCAAGACCCAACTCCCATTCCTCTAGAGGCAAAGGAATGAGTGTTCAATCAGTGGATATGTAAAATGTGGGTGCGTGGCAGTGACCTTAGCAGACACAGTTGTGGAGTTTAATGACTCACAGAAAGAGAGAGAGACAGAGGCAGAGAGAAACACAATGGGACAATGGGGAGACCACAATGTGTGAATAAACAGAAATGCACAAGATCCTAGCAGGCAGTGGGAAGGCTTGTAAAACCAGTCACCAAATGTTTACTGTACTGTAAGCCATTCCTGGATCTAGACACTGAAGATGAACTCCTAAACACTACCAAAGATCCCTGTCCTCAAGGAGTTATGTATAACAAGGAACTAAGAAAACATATGACACATGTTTTAAAAACGATGACTGGTATTAAAAAGTTAAAGTAACGAAGTGGAGGAAACAGGGCTGAGGGAAACAAGAAAGGGTGGTCAAGGATGAGGGGAGCAGGACATGGCTGAACCAACCCTGAAGGGGGTGAACAGCCCTTTAGGCAATCTAGGGGAGGATATACTGGGGAAAAGGGAAGTGGGTGGCCTGACTGAGATGTGAGAATGATGAGAAGATGCCAGCCTCACAGAGTGTGGACAGACACCTCCAGAGGCCACACTTTCGGTTCAGGACTCTGACCTGGTGGCAGAGGGGCATTATAGAAGGCACATGAGGATGGGAAAGTGCACTAGGAAGACTATTTCTTGGCTGTTGAGTGCAAGACACAACATGGCTATGGGCAAGTGGTACGTGCACAGGGAGACAAGACTGCTGAGGCGTGGACAGGGGCCTAGGGCTCACCGAAATGGAAACTCTCTTCTCGCCATAAACGGATTCTCCAGGGACCAGATTCTTGGTAACCAGGGCATCTTCCTTTCCTCGGCAAATGAAAACACCTGGATGTCGGAATCAAGATAGGAGTAAATACTGGTGCTCCACCCACTCCACCCACACCTCAGATGGTTCTTACCGCTCACTCACCTTCATGTCGGTGCGGTTCCACCATCACATTCTTACCCCCTGGATTTCCTCTTTTTCCTCCTCTGCCACGACCCCGGGCACCAGACTGAAAGCTTCCTCCACCTATGAGGGACAGACACTTTAAGAGAGAGGTCTTAAATATGTTCTCTCCCAGCTCTTTCTGTGGTACCTGTGGACAGTCTCCATCACCTGCCATTCTTACTTACCACCTCGTCCTCCTCCTCGACCTCTGCCCCGGAAGCCACCGCCACCACTGCCTCCTCCTCGACCTCGACCTCGGCCCCCACCGAAGCCTCCTCGGCCACCACGACCGCCACGGTCACCACCAAAGCCGCCACGGTCACCACCAAAGCCACCTCGGTCACCAAATCCTCCTCGGCCTCTGAAACCGCCCCCTCGGGGACTAAAACCTGTGTTAAAAAAAACAAACAGAAAACAGTAAGGGTCATCAATGAAGCCTGAATACTATGAATTTCAACGCGTAGCCATTCCTATCAGGAGAGAAACGTGTATGTATGTGCATCTGTGTCCAGAAAATGCCAAAGCAAAAGAGAAAATGTGGATCAACACAAATGTTTCCTGGCAGAACACATAAACAAAATGGGGAAGATGCACAATTGGTCATGAAAATGATCCACAGCTAACCACACAGTAGCACAAACCTTAGGACCACATTGAGAAAAGAATAAATCCCAGAAAACCACATCCAAAACATCACCACCAACAGTGGAAATGAATGTAAACTTGTTGCTCTCAAGTCAATTCCAACCTCTTGTAAGGTGCCATCGAGTCAAAGCAACCCTATAGGACAGAGTAGAACTGCCCCACAGGGTTTCCAAGGCTGTCAATCTCCACAGAAGTAAACTATCATCATCTTTCTGAAGAGTGGCTGGTGGATTGCAATAACTGACCTTGCAGTTAGCAGCTAAACACTTAGCCACTGCCCCATCAAGGTTCCTAAAACGAAAGCCGTTGACTAAAACGAAGTTCACAAACTTAAATGAAATTATGCTATGATGTGTTGGCATCTGTATGTAAACATTTGATAAACCAAATAAGACCAAAATAAAAATCCCTTCAAACAGGCAAGAAACTGAACAACACAAAATTTATGATAGTGGTTATTGAGAGGGAGATCTTAAGGGGTTAGGAGATGGAAAGAGAACACAAGGTCTGGACCACCCAGGTGTCATCAACTATGGCCTAGGGACATGTCAGAGGAGGGCTGTGTTCATTGGCTTTCCAATGGTTAGGGGTTCTTTTTAAGAGCAGATCACCAGGTCTCCACTCTTTGGTTGACGGCTAACTGCACTAACCATTTCCACCGCCTTGATTTTAATTTAAAAAAATAAATAAATAAAAGCAAATCCACCACCAATATGTTGATTGTGATTCAAAGCAACCCTTCAGCAGGAGCTCTGGTGGTTAGTGGTTGAGAAACTGCACTGCGAACCCAATAGTACATTAGCATCCACCTATCCCGTTCTGTGTGATTTAATGTGTGAAAACATACTGGAGGGTCAGTTATGATGGTAGGAAACGACAACAGATATTGCCATCCTTCTTTTGCTGAGAAGATGGTGGTTTCAAACTGTCCACCTTTGAGTTTGTTGCCCAATACTTAATCTACCATGTTACCAGGAGTCCTTAACCCTTGTTAACACCCAATTTATGGTGACATTCCATCGAGTTTTCAAGACTGTAAAATCACTTGTACAGACTGCTTTATCAGCTCTCATGCAGAGGCTGACAGGTTTAAAATGTGAATCTCTCAGTTGGTAACTTCACTCATACTCCACTACACCATGAAGGTTTCTAGACCACTGCTGAAATTGTTGGTTGCCTGAGAGAATAGTTGTGAATGTGCATGCACTGTGACAGCAAGGTCCCCAAAGTCTTGCAAACTCCTGTGTGCCCTTCCAGTCATGATCCTTTGTCTTAAGAAAAGCCTAACCCCAAACAGAAAGAGTTCCTGGTGAAGTCTTTCCTTAATTAGCTCATAAGGGAGTTAGGGCCTGCCAAGAAGAGTGAAAAGTTGATGGACTTCAAAAATACTATCAGGACATGGCATGAGTTATAAAGCAATCGTGTGAAAATGACTGCTCATTAAACACAATCTCAGCTGATCCAGTTCAATAAAAAGGATGCTAAACTCCCATCAACAAATGAATGGATAGAGAAGCTCTGGTGTATAGTCACACAATGGAATACTATGCAGCATTGAAAAATAAGGAACTCATGCAATATTATGCAAAATGGATGACTCTGGAGGACATTATGCTGAGTGAAGTATCTCAGTCACAAAAGGACAAATATTGCATAGGGTCACTATTGTAAAATGGGACTGACATCAGGGTTGAGGGAAGACAGAAAAGGCGGGGAGGAAGATGTATATTGCATTGAAACAGATGAGGGAGAGAACTGTTTAAAAGGGACATTTGAATGGGTATTCTTGTCATTACAGAAGTCCAGAGTGAAGGCTGCATAGTGGAGGGGACTTGGGGGGAGGGATTGCATAACAATGAAAGAGTTTTTCAAGAAGAGTAAATTGGGGGGAAGGGAGTGGGTAAGGAGAAAAGTGCAACAATGAATAACCGGAAACCCTAAGTCTCTGTAAACTTCCATTAAAATGAATTTTTAAAAACCCCCACTAATAAATAAAAAAAGGGGTGCTAAACTTTTTGTAAAGGTACATCATATACACCCTAGAAATGCTTTATGCCGCTTAATGCCTTTACAGATGAAAAAGTAAAATCTGTCATCACTCTTCTTAATATCTACAAAGTAGTTTAGTCTTTCAAAATTTAAAATTAAGCAAGAGCCACCAATTTTTTAAATCTTCTACGCCCTCTACAATCTATTTTTCACATAGCAGCCAGTGACTAGAGGTTTTTAACACTGCCAAATGTGACTGCCTCTCTGAGCCACTCAAAACCCTCCTCCGATTACTTTTAAATTTTTATATTGGTTTGCTTACAAAGTTCATTTATCTTGTGTTTCACACTATCCTTCATTCAACACTGTTTCATACAATCATTCCCAATCATTATGTTTTTAAAACTACCCACCACTGAACTGTGCCCACCATTACCATGTCTTTCCAGATCCCTGCAGGATCCTTCTCATTTCCTTTAACCACCCCCTCCAAATACCAAATTCTTTGACCCCATGATTTCTCCCCTGCCCATCCTCGCCCCTCAGTTTCCACTCTCATCCCCTAGGATCCTCATACATGTTTTCCTAGTTGCTCAATTATTTTTTAAAATTTTTTTAGTTTAATAATTTTAATGAACATTTACAGAGATTTTGGATTTCCATTCATTCACTGCTGCACTTCTCTCCTGCCCAGCACCCCCACCCCCTTGCCCAATTCTTACCCCATTCAAAATGAAATTAAAAATCCTTCTCAGAGTTTGTTTACACATCCCTGTCATCAGTGGTTCTCACTCTGAGCTAATTCTTGAAACCACCCAATCCAGTACCAATAACCTAGAGATTCTAAATCAACTGGTCAGGGGACTTTTTAAAGTGGAAAACTCTGGGCATGCTGTTAAGGGCCAGTCTTTGGAAAAAGACATCATGCTTGATGGCAGAAAATCAGCTAAATAGAAGACCCTCAACAAGATGAATTGGCAAAGCGTCTGTAATAATGGGCTCAAGATTCACAGAAATTGCTTATCGGGTTGCTCTAACAAGTCATATTTGATTCAACTAAAAACAGTGGTGCCCAAAGTGAGAACCATGGTCTTGGGGATCTGGCCTTCAATAACTTCTCTGAAGTTATATGAAGCTCCCTTCTCAGAACCTTTACCTCCCTCTAAGCCTTTTACCCGTGTTGCTCGGCTGCCTTCCTGCTACAGCCAGCCTGCCTGACTTCACATCAGAGTGTAGGGTCTGATTAAACAGGACTTCCTCACAAGGGTCCTCCTGACCATATGTTATCCAACTGTATTTCTTTATAGCAATTACCACATACATCACTTTAAATATGTTACCATCAGCCTCCCCGACTAGAAATGAGCTCTGAAGTAATTCTTGTGGTCACTGAGCACCCACGGCACCCCCTACAAAGTGTGGCCTCCACAGATACTGCATGAATTTCCTGTCAGTTGGCAACTCCTCATGTAGAACATAGTCTGCTCACTCAGAATGCTGGGATCCGGTGAGCCAGGCAGACCTGTCCCTCCTCTTAAAAAGCTCATGTGTCCCATACAGAGAGCCATAGGCCATGTCATTCAACTACCCTAGCCAGTAACTCTTAAAATTCTGTGAGGACACAGGGCCTAATCCACTGAGCTATAACAGCATTATTCAAACACAGGAGGGTGAGTCCTCTGTCTCCCTACTCAATCAGAAAAGACACCTGTCCTTGAGACTCTCAACCAGGCCAGACAGATCACAAACCAGACATGAGAGCTTGCACACGAAGAGGTAGGTGGGGCATAGGTGTAAACTTTTAGTCTCACAGACTCAAAACCTGAGCCCTCTTCAGAAAATGCACTGAAAGCCCCCCCCCCCCCCACTTCACAGGAGGAGAAGGGAAAGCAAGTTCTCACACACGTCTGGAAGTATTTTTTGTTTAAAGGTGGGGTCCCTCAGACTCGCTGTTTCAAATCAGCTCTCCACTGCCTTTAGTTCAGCATACAGTGCTCTTCTATCCTTCCAGTTCCACAGATCAAAACCCTTGACTAGCCCTGCCTGGGCTCAAAGTTTACCTTCAAAATATACGTGTAAATCAAGACTCCCCTATTGCTCACACTGGGGTCCCAAAGTCAGGGCTCTCTCCATAGTTAAAGGCCAAGATGGGTTATCAAAATGTGAAAAAACCGGCATGAATAAAACCAGCCATAGGAATGCTATCATATTCCCCTGAAGAACAATAACCACTGAAACCAATATGCCAACACTACGCAAGCAACTGTTAAGCACTGGTTTTATTTTACAAGATCTCCCTTAATACAATCTGGGCGCCATTTTACTGATGAGAAAACCGAGGCTGGAGATTATAGCTAATTGCCCAAGGTCACAGCGGGGGATTAATAGATCAAGAAGCCTGTCTGCTGTCAGAAGCGGGGTTTTCGCCATTCCCTCACGAGAAGCCAGGGCGGACTTAACCAAACTCACTGGCATTCAAATGAATTAAACCATTCATTCCCGGTGCCTAGTTACTGTTCCTCACCCCTCTCGCTTGTCTTGGATTTGCACAGTTTCTTGTTACCAAAGAGCTGGGAATCACTAGAGGTAGAAAGTGAGTTCGACCCGGCTACCAACGGTCATCTTGGCCAGGGAGTCTATCCGCTGCAGACCTTTCCCAAGAAGCCGGATTAGGGACTAACGGCAGTATGGCAAAAAACATAGGGCCTGTCACACCTAGCTTCTGGACCCAAGATTAGAGATTCCCATCCTGACTCAAGACAGACCCGGAAAATCACATCTAGAGGGTTGAGACCTCAGATATCTAGATCCAGACCCGGCGCCACAGCTCTACATCCCAGACGTTTTAAAGAGGAAAATCCCAGCTCAGGTCCTGCAATCTCAGGCCTGAGACCCTTGAATAAAAACAGTGACCCTCAAGTCTCAAATTCCACATCGTTAACCCACAACACCCCTTCTTTCCCCACCCCCACCGCACCCCCCAGCACTCAGGATCGATCCCAAAGCGGACACAGGATCCCTATCCCACAAAAATCCAGGACTTGCAGGCTTAGAAGCCTAACGCCTAGGCCAAGTCCTCGCCCGCTGGATTCCGGACTAGCATCCCAATTCCAGCCCAGTTCCACTCCCTGAACCCAACTCCGACGCTGTCCCGAACCTGGCTTCATGGTGAGCGCTGATCAGTTCAGCTCCAAAATCCGCGGCGAACAGACTACACGCGCCTAAGGTTTTATGCACGTGGAAAGAAGGGCAGGCGCGTAAAAACGCAGCGCATGACACAAGAACGTCGCCCCGCCCCTCCGGGTCTCAGCTGTTTCCGGCTCCGGCGCCCACAGGGGGTGGGGGTTGTCCCAGACTTCTCGCGAGAGGATCACTCTCCTATCAAGCCTTAGCGTGAGCTCTGTAGCGCCCAAACTAGCTTCCTTCTTTAGAGTCGTGCTGTCTACTGTACTCTCTACCACTCCTCACTATTCTTAGAAAACTCCCTAAAATTCGTAGCGACACCCAAAAAGCATTACCTGAGCAATCTTAAGAACAAAGACTCTCTACTCCCATCCATTTAGTTGTTACGTGCCTTCGAGTCGCCTACGACTCATAGCGACCTAAACAACAACCCTAAACCCTGCTCTATCCTGTGCCAATTTTACTGTCTCTGACACACCCATCCCCATTACCCCATCACTGAATCAATCCATCTCATATTCCTCCACCCTCCCAAAGATGACATCCCTCTACAAGGACTGATCCCGCCTTGCAACATGGCCACAATAGGTCAGACGAAGCTTCAGAATTCTTGCCCCAAGGAGCAGCCTGATTTTACCTTCTCTAGGATTAAGCTGTTTTTCATTGTTTTTGTTCAAACAGTCTTCTAGGTCGGATAGCCCTGCGGTGTCCACTTGCCTTACAAAGGTAACTTGTGGTCCGTTTGAAGCTGAACACTGTGACACTATAATGTGTCAAATGCGATAACGGTTATACATGTTTGGTGGCGCTCCCCGGTTGAAAAAAGCTTGGATGCAGGAGTGGCATCCACTTCCATAAATAGCTCGCCTTCGGAAACCCTATGAACCTGGAGAAAGGATGAAAGTCACACACGGAAGTGTCGAGCACTTTCTTTTATAGGGTCGCTATGAGTCGCCTACAACTTGACAGCACTTAACAACAGGATTACCCTGATGGCAAAATTCTATCATCTATCTCCAGCTTCATTTCTGTCACCAAGTCCATGCTTTCCAACTACTCATTCTTCTTCTCTATTCCGAACTTTTGCATTCCAGTCACCCATCACTATTAATGAGAAGAATGGGAATCCCAGACCACTTGATTGTGCTAATGCGAAACCTATACATGGACTAGGAGGCAGTCGTCCGCCCAGAGCAAGGAAACATTGTGTGGTTCAAAATTGGGAAGGGTATACACCAAGGCTGTATCCTGTCTCCATACCTTTTCAATCTTTATGCAGAACAGGTTATCCGGGACTCTGGGCTCTATGAGAAGAAATGTGGCATCAGGATAGGAAAAGAATCATCAACAATCTGCGTTATGCAGATGACACAACCTTGCTTGCTGAAACTGAAGAGGACCTGAAGCACTTGCTGTGTAAGGTCAGGGACTGCAGTCTTCAGTATGGATTAAGACTCAATATCAAGAAAACAAAGATTCTCACCACTGAGCCAATTGATAGTGTCATAATGGATGGTGAAGAAATTGAGATTGTTCACCGTTTTGGTTTGCTTGTATCCACAGTCAACACTCTTGGCACCAGAAGCCAGGAAATTAAAAAACGTATTGCAATGGGAAAGTCTGCAGTTAGAGACCTCTCTAAAGTGCTGAAGTGCAAAGATGTCAGTTTGGAGACTAAGGTGCACCTGATACATGTCATGGTCTTTGCAATCACTTGCTATGCATTGGAGAGCTGGACAATGACTAGGGAGGATAGAAGGAGAATTGATGCCTTTGAGCTGTGGTGTTGGAGAAGAGCATTGAGTATACCATGGACTGCTAGGAAAACAAACAGGTTTGTCCTGGAGAGGGTGAAGCCGGGCTGCTCCTTGGAGGCAAGGATTCTGAAGCTTCATCTGACATACTTTGGACATGTTGCAAGGAGGGACCAGTCCTTGGAGAGGGATGTCATACTTGGGAAGGTGAGCGACAGCGCAGGAGAGGAAGACCCTCGATGAGATGGATTGATTCAGTCACTTGGGTAATGGCGGCAGGTGTGTCAGAGATAGTGAGATTGACACAAGATAGGGCAAAGTTTAGGGCTGTTGTACTTAGGGTGGCTATGAGTGGCAGGCGACTCAATGGCACATAACAACAACAGCAACAACAAGGATTAACCTGTTCATTTTCTTAGCAGTCCATGGTATATTCAATACTCTTCTCCAGCACCACAGCTGAAAGGCATCAATTCTCCTTCTGTCATAGGAGGAAGAATATAGCAGTTGTCCAACACCCAGGCCTGATCACTTGCTGAAAAACCTGATAACATCTAAGTCGGCCATATCAAAGACCAGAACAGACAATGGATTCGGATAAGGTTCTGAGCCTGATTAAAATATCCCAAACACAACTTAATTAACACCCCAAATTCTGATAAATACCATCCTCCTTAGTTCTCCCTAGGACTCATAAGAAGGACACCCCCGAAAAATGCAACAATGAATGAATGGAAATACAAAATCTCTGTAAAAGTTCATTAAAATTAATAAAATAAAATTTTAAAAAGGCCCCCCCCCCCCGAGTTGCCCAGATGCCATTTTGACTCTGTATGCTGTGCTGTATGGCCGGGTCACTTCGTGTCCCTCTCAGACCACAGAATAAAGGCCTGTTTGTTTCTTGAAACCAGTTTCATTCTTTTTCTCTCTCACTCTTGACACTATTTTTCCATCTAACAATCATCCCTAGGCATTGTCCAGCTTTCTGATGCATAGCAAGCAATTGAAAGACTATGGCCTGGCAACAATGAATGAATGGAATTCCAAAATCTCTGTAGATGTTCATTGAAATGAAAAATAAATAAATAAAAATATTGAAAAAAAAGAAAGACTATGGCCTGGATCAGGTACACCTTAGTCTCCAGACTGATATCGTTGCTCTTCAGTACTTTGGCGAGGTCTCTGACATCATACTTTCCCAATGTAATTAATCTTTTAATTCCCTGGCTGCTGGTACCAAGAGTGCTGACTTGAAAAATATTGTGATCCTTGCTATTAGGACTGCAGAGCCCTTTCCTTCCTCTCCCCAAATGGCTACTGAAAATAATCCAATCATAGGAAGCAGCAGCTGTGCCATTTCTGTCAAGGATGGGAAACTGCTCTACCTCCTTTTCCAGAAATAGTTATCTGAGACCCCAGCCCTCTTCCCTATCTTGCAAAAAACATCAGTGAGCATCCCCTTCCCCAAGTTCCCTGTAAGAGAATATAAAACCCCTCTCTCACTTTTAGTGGGGGCTGGTTTTTCTGCTTGAGAGCTAGACTGGCAGTGTCTCCTCAATCAACTGTCTTTCTTGGCCTAAACTGGGTTCAATCCTTCCTCAGCAACCTTACACTTGTATCCTAAGGGAGCTCTGGTGGTGTAAGAAAGTTGCACTGCTATTTCAAAGGATATTTGCCAGTTCTAATCCATTAGCAACACCTTTAGAGAAAGATGGACAATTCCTCTTGTGAGTCAGTTCTGACTTGAAAGCACACTATTCTCTCTCTCTCTCTCTCTCTCTCTCTCTCTCTCTCTCTCTCTCAGCAGTAAAGGTGATTATTTTTTTTTCTTTTACGTTTTGTAGGCACAAAGAGGGTTCTATGCTGTATAAACAATGAGCAGAATCTAAGACTCACCCCCGCTCCTGGAGTTCATCTTAGAGGTTAGAGAAGTTGGACAGACATTAAACAAGTTATTTAAACCTGTTGAATATTTCCAAATAAAAACAAAACAACCACCAAAACCCTCCACTAATGTAGAACCTTTTCTGATTCATAGCAAATATCCATCAGTTCTGAAACTGTCAAGCCACGACTGGTAAATTCAAACTACTGACTGTTGTGGAATACTGGGGAGGAAGGGAGGGTCTCTGGCCAGGACAGATCACCTAAACTCCAGATAAGTGCAAGCCTCCCAATGGCCTTTAATACAGGGTAGAGAAAGCTCCCCTGTGTTTGGCTGTACTGGCTTGACAAAGCTCGCCACCTGGGAAGACGGCTGCTGCATCTGTTGAGCTGGGAGTGGTCCACGCGAGGCTGAGTTTCTCCTGACCAATCTACATGTTCAATGTCTATAAGCCCACCACATCTGGTCTTCCTGTGTATATAAATGCAGTGCAGTCCCAATAAAATTGAGCTGGATTGGCTCTCTGATCCTCTCCTGGAGTGGTGTATCTCCGTCATGCTTACTCCCATCAGGGTATTGCTGTAGGTTGCCAGCGAACAGACAGCTACAACCGACAAACTTTAGCAAATCAACACATAAAGTTGCCAGGGCTCTATTGTGGAATGCTAACAGGCAATGAGTGCTTTTGAGAAAACAGTAAGGGAGGGGTAAAGGGACTATTGGGGTGATATTTTTATAACCTAGTCAACAAGATGCATAGGTCCTAAAAACAGATGAAGAATGAGACACCTGTCTGGCAAAAGAGTTCCAGATGTGGATGCACTACAGTTTAATAATTCGCTTGATGAAAGGAATAAAGATTAATTTATATTTTGGGTTATTACCAGAAAAAATTACTATTAAATTCGTATATGGATTTCTGTTGGCACGCAAATGTTCCTTTCTCTGAGATAAAATTGCTGGGTGGTAATTAATTGCTATGGAAAGCAGAGAATCACAGAAAGAAAAAGAGATCCTCAATAAAATGGATCGACATAATGACTGCAATAATGGGCTTGAGCACAACAGAGATGGTGAGGATGGTCAAGGTTTCCATTTATTGTTCATGTGTCTGAGCAGATTCCAAGGCACTAACAACAATTACACCTTGCGTTTTATAGAAAATTGTTCCCCAAAGTGGTTGTACATTTTATATTCCCACCAAGGAGTGATCCAATTTCTTTGCATTCTCACCAGGATTTGCAGTTAACTACTTTTGTTCTAGTAATTTCGATAGATGTAGAATGATACCTTACCATTTTACTTTACCTTCCCTGATGGCTACTGACATTGAATGGCTTTTCAT